CGCTCCCCAGTCTATCTTTGTGTATATAATTATGGTGTCCCAAGTGCAGGGCTTTGCATTTGTCTTTTCTGAATCTCATATGACTGACTGCAGACCACTTTTTTAGTCTATCTAGTTTATTCTGGATCCTAGCCCTGCCCTCCAAAGTGTCTACAGCTCCACCCAACTTGGTGCCACCTACAAATTTGATAAGCACACACTCAATCCCATCATCTAAATCATTAATGCAGACATTGAATAATACCAGGCCCAGGACAGATCCCCAAGGAGCCCCACTTGATACCTCCTTCAAACTAGACATCGAGCCACTGATGAGTACTTGTTGAGCATGATGATCATACCAGTGAGAATGCTGTGGGAGACTGTCAACAGCCTTCCTAAAGTCAAGTTATATCACATCTACTGCTCTCTTCTCGTCCACAGAGACTGACATCTTATCATAGGAAATCAGATTAGTTAGGCATGACTATCTTGGTGAATCATTTCTGATCACCTTGTTCTCTTCTCAGTATTTTACAACAGATTCCTTAAGGACCTACTCCATGATCCATGCCTGTTGCTTTTTCAGGCTCTGGGGCCAGGGAGCACGGCCACCTCCCTTTGTGGGGTCTGTTGCCTTCTGGGGTCTCTGCCATGCCAGCTGGAGGAGCTCCAGGCCGCAGTCCAAAGACTGTGCACCATCAGGGGCTGTGAGCAGGAGATCGACTACTACTGCCAGGCCCTTCTCCCCCAGGAGGCAGAGGGTAGACCACGGTCTCCCTCCAAGACAAAAGGGGACTCGAGAACCTCCCTCGTTGTCCAGCCCAGGGCTTGGACCAAGGTGCCCCCCAAACCCAGGAAGCACTAGTTGCCGAGCTAGGAGGACGCAGGGGTGCCCCCCAGTGTGCTCCCCGGCAGATCTGGAAGTGGACAAGAAGCGCTTGTGGTCCACTTCCAGGTCTGCTGCCAAGTGCTGGGGAGTCCCCCATGCTCCTGTGGGACACTCCATGAGCACCAGCATCGCAGCATTCACGAGCCGCCTTAGAACCTTGAGGTATGTAGAAAAACATCTAAAACTGTGTGTATGTCCGAATCGCTGAATCTTTCTGAATCTCTCCTAATCGATTCGGAGGGTTCCAGTTCGATTCAGAGAGATTAAATGGTCTCTTGATTTGATTTGGATTCAGAGATTCGGACACCGAATTGGGCCGAATCTCTGCCGAATCGAATCAGGGACCAAAGCTTCGCACAGCCCTACTGAACAGTTCGAGAGAGAACTGCACATGTGGGCACACGTGCATGTTCACCCACACACACACACACACACACACACACACTCTTCCCCAAGATCAGATTTTGACTAAATTGATACCACTGTTTCAGTCCATCTTGGTTATGATGCAGCTAATTATTGCAACAAATTGCATCCATTTTCCATTGATGTTTTTTCTTTTTGATTTTTAGGGAGAAAATATGTTTGGGTTGACAAAAGGATAAAACAGAGATTAAATATTAATTCTCTGGCAAATCTGGGCCTGATTCTGATGCCATTTCAAGATAAATTTGACCTAATTCTGTTAACATCAGGTTGTTCCAGGATTATAACTCAGAAAACTGCAGGAACTGTAATGCTGCTGCTTCAACTCCTACTGCATTCAGAAAAAAACTGCTTTGTGTACAGTATATTCTCTTTTGGGCTATATCTGTGTGCAGTTACGGTCTGTGCTAGACTGAACAAACAAAGGAAATGAAATATATTTGCTTGTCACAAAGAGTCCTTTCTTCATGTGATGCTCATAAAGTTGGGCTAGATCATTATGATCAACATAAACATAAATACTCATCTAATATAAACAGATTGTCATGTCTACACAATTCTGTCATCATCAAAACTGACTTTTCCTCCAAAGGGTCATAATACTTTCTGCAGCAAGGATGCTGCTACAAGAGGGTGCATAGAGATTTAATAGGCGTGGAAGTGGTACATTTATTGATAAGGGGTAAACAGTTATGGTGAACTTGTGGGGACACTGAAACTACTGCTTACAACTATGGACTGTCTAGGGTGCAATACTGCAGGAAAGAACCTAAGGGTCACAGTGGACCATAAACTGGAAATGAGCCAACAGTGTGTTTTTTTGTTTGTTTTTTTTTGCAAAAAAATCCTTTAAAATACAGTGCATACTGTATTATAGGAGCATCCCTTGCAAATCAAGGGATGTGGTTTTGCTCTATTCAACAGGGGTTAGGCTTCACCTGAAGTACTGTGTCCAGTTTTGGACCCTACACTTCAAGAAGGATGTGGACAAATTAGAAGAGAGCAATAGAAATTATTAGAGGCTTCAGAAATGTAACTTATGGGGCCAGGCTGACAGAAGTGGGGTTATTTATGGCAGTCTGAAAAAGAGAAGATTGAGACGGGGGTTGATAACAGTCTGCAAATACCTGAAGGATGGTTAATTGAAAGATCAAGATAGATTATTCTTTGTGGCTACAGGGGACATAAATAGTCAAGGAGCAATGGACTTGAATTTCTGCAAGGGAAATTATTTAGGTTGGGGATTAGGAAGAACTTTTTTCACTATAAGGGTGGTTAAGATTTGGAGCAGGCTACCCAGAGAACTTGTGGAATCTCCTTCCTTGGACATATTTAAGAGTAGGTTAGACAGGCACTTGATTGTGATAGTTTAGTTAGGGATGATCCTGCCTTGAGTAGAGTATTGCTCTAACTTAACTTCCTGAGGTCCCATCCAATCCTGCCCTTTTCAGCCTCCGCAAGAAAAGGTTGAGAGGCGACCTTGTGGCTGCCTATAAGTTCATCACGGGGGCACAGAAGGGAATTGGTGAGGATTTATTCACCAAGGCGCCCCCGGGGGTTACAAGAAATAATGGCCACAAGCTAGCAGAGAGCAGGACGTCATTCTCCCGTTGTACTTGGCCTTGGTGAGGCCGCAGCTGGAGTACTGCATCCAGTTTTGGGCCCCACAATTCAAAAAGGATGTGGAGAAGCTTGAGAGGGTGCAGAGGAGAGCCACACACATGATCAGAGGTCAGGAAAACTTATGATGAGAGGCTGAGAGCCATGGGACTCTTCAGCCTGGAAAAGCGCAGACGCAGGTGATCTGGTGGCCACCTACAAGTTTATCAGGAGTGTTCACCAGTATCTGGGAGAATGTCTGTTCACCAGAGCGCCCCAAGGGATGACAAAATCAAATGGTCACATACTCCACCGTGACCAATTCAGGCTGGACATAAGGAAGAACTTCTTTACTGTCTGAGCCCCCAAGGTTTGGAATAGACTGCCCCCAGAGGTGGTTCAAGCACCCACTTTGAACACCTTCAAGACACATTTGCATGTTTATCTTGCTGGGATCCTATGATCCCTACTGACTTCCTGCACCTGGGGCAGGGGGCTGGACTTGAAGATCCTTTGGGGTCCCTTCCAGCCCAAATGTCTATGAAATCTATGAATGTCTATGAAATCTTTTCAGATATGAGGTAAGGCTGACTGGTCTATAATTCCCCCGATCCTTCTCTTTCCTTTTAAAAAAGATGGGCACTATATTTGCTTTTTTTAATCATCTGGGACCCCATCCAGCCTCCATGAGAATATTTCAGTATTGCTACAACTGCAGAACATTTCATCATTGCAAAGTACTTCACCATTGTGGAATATTTTACCATTGCTACAACTGACTCAAGGTTGTGCTAATCAGATATGCTGATTTTACAGATATAATGTAAAATTCAGATGTCTTTACTCTTGTTATTTTTACTTAATCCTCACTCAAGATAAAATTCCTACTGATTTCAGTCTCTGTTATTCTAGTTAATGTTTAATGTAAGTGTAATATATTTCCAGCCTTAACTATCGTAATTAGATTTTGTTTCTGGAGCAATTCAACTACGTGGCATATGTTTATGCTTTAATAAGACATTTGCTTTAAGAAAGCATTTGCAAGTAGGACTGAAGACATCTGGCTATATGCTGTTTTTGTAGTGACTTCCATATTTAAAGTTGAAGTCCTATAGTAGGGTCTTTAAACAATATTTGGGCTATCAGCTTTGACTGAGACAGGAAATATGGAGAGAACTGCTACTTAAAGCAACTGCAAGCTTGTTTGCTATGTAGGGCTGTGCGAAACGGCACTGTTCTGTTTCGACTTGAATTTCAAGGTTTTGATGGAACAACGTTTCATTTCGAATTTCATTTCGATTCAAAATTGCTGTTCCATTTCACTTCATTGAAACAGTGATGCTGTTTCGATGTTGTTTTGACGTTTCACCCATTCACTATAATGGGGAAGCTTGAAACAGCCTTTGTCATCTGGCAGGCAGATGGGGGCCCGCCACCCCGGGAGGGCTGCTGGGGCTGTGCCAGTCCTCCCAGGGCTGAGGACCCCCAATCTGCCTACCAGATGAGGGAGGGAAGCCGGGTGCTGCCACCTGGGACTGGGGAGCTGGGAAAGGGAACTAACCCCAATTGCTCAGTTCCCTTGCCCTGCGCTGTGATCGGCTTCTCGCAGCCCAGCTCTGGGAGGCGGGGAGAGCCAGGACTGCGCTCCAGCTGAGCCACATGGGGCCACGGAGCCACTGGGAGCGCAGCAATGGTTCTCCCCTTTCTCCCACTACCTGGCTACTGGCTGCTTTGAAACTCAAAACATTTCAAAACTCTCAAAACATTTTGACTAGCCTTGTTTTGTTTTGAAGCTGTTTTGAAGTCCTTCATTTCGATTCGATTTTGCTGTTTCAAGCTCGAAACACTGTCAAATTGAAATAGCTGGCGAATTTTGCACAGCCCTAGTATGCAATAACCACTATAATTTCCTTAAGTCATCTGGCAGACTTGGCATGAGAGTTCCCCAGGCTCTCCTATATAAACAACATCCCAATAAATTAAAACAACGGTAAACTTTTTTGATCACTTCACCTACCCATGCCTCAAAACACAAAACAAGCAATGCTGCACAGATTTACAGAAATCAGAATGTTAGTAAGACCACAACTACTTGGAAACTTACTAGTAACCATCAGTAACATGCTGGCTGTTGTGAGGCCAAAAGGGTTCCTTGCAACACATTCATATCTCCCCTGGTCTGCTTGTCCTACATCTCTGATAGTAAGAGTGCCCTCTGGGTTCACATGGAATTTCCCACTTGCTGTGATGTGTATACCACTCTACAGAAGAAAAAGAAAGTAAAAAGTACATGTCATTCATGTGCATTTATTTCATCTCAGAAATTCCTCCTAATGAAACAGGTCATATCAGTTACTAAGCAAAGGCAGTTTTTTTCACCAAACAATTCAGTAGGTGTAATAGTTCAAGTTTTGGGGACTAAATGGAGCACTTCTGGGGAGGGCCCATGGGGACCAAAAGAAAGATCTCAACAGCTCAGACTCCTACAGAGATACTTCAATTGTTCCAGGTTGAAGAATTTCCCTTTGGCAGAAATGAAATGAGTTACAACAGCTCATCCTCTCCCCACAGCTGCCTTATTTATGCTAGGATGCAGCATGGATATTATGTACAGTAGATGTATACATAGCTTTTCATATTTTAAAACTTATCAGAGAATGGAATGGCAGAGTCTTATTTTTTTGGATGAATTGTCAAATTGTTTAGGAATTTTTTACTTTTAAGGAAGAAAAAAAATGGAACAAAATTCTTCCCCCAGAGTTCTCACAATATTTCCTCAGAAAAAGAAATTAATCCCAGTAGTGGTATTGCAATTTTTCAGGGTTTAAAAGGAAACACTAAGGGCCAAATCCTGTTTCACCCTCACATGCTTAAGTGGCTTTTAAGCAGCTATATAAGGCTTGAAATGCAAGTCCTCCAATGGGGCAGAGACTGCACCCAGTGCCATTTATCTATCAGGGATGTGCGAAGCTTTGGGTGCCAATTTGATTCGGAGGAGATTTGGCCCAACTCAGCAGCTGAATCTCTAAATCCGAATTGAATCAGGAGACGAATAAAAAGGTCTAAATTAATTTGAAGCTCTCTGAATCAATTCGGAAATGATTCAGAGAGCTTTGGAGATTTATGCAGTCCCCACTTGCCACCCAAAGGAGCTGGACCCAGACTCTGTGCTGGTAAGTAGGGGGGGCAGGAGGAGAGGGGAGGGGACCATGGGGGGGGACCCCACCAAGCCCCATCCCCTGCCTGCTCCCCCAGCCACCCTGAGTGCTCTCCTGCCCCCTGCCTTCTCTCCCAGCCCCAGCAATGGTTGCCCCGCCTGGCCCCAGCACCCCTGCACTTAAAAAAAAAAAAAAAGACCTACATTCACTGTCTGCTGCAGGAGCTGTCAGGGCTTTTGGGGGCTTGTGGCAGAGCCCCCCATGCAGTGCAGGGCAGTGCGGGGCGGGACACTGGGGCCAGGAGGGGCAGCCATGGAGGGGGGGAGTTGGGGGAGTGGGCAGGGGATGAGGGTTCATAGCAAAGCCCTTCACGCAGAGCAGGGCAGTGTGGGGCAGTGGGGATCGCCCCCCCCCCCACCTGCCTGGAAGCAGACAGTGAATGTGGGGCTTCAAAAAAAAAGAGGGATGCTGGGGCTAGGAGAGTGAGCAAGGGATGAGGCCTGTTTGATTCGGACATTCAGCCGATTCGGTGGTGGCCAAATCTCCAAATCAAATTCGGCCAAACAGATTTGGGACAGTGATTCAAATCACCAAATTGAATCAGTCTCCAGAATCGTCTGAATCCAAAGTGAATGCTGGCCACTTTGCACGGGCCTATTATCTATTTTATCCAATTAATATTAAATGCAGGGTTCAGGAAAGACTTCTTCCCACATCTCTTCCCTTCTTTGCTGCCCAATTAGCCAGCTTGAAGAGAAAGGCTAAAGAGTGCACTGAGCACCTTTACTCTACCTACTCTATGACCTGGTAGTTAAATCATTCTGCTAGGAAAACTCCTTTGGATGACAAGGGCCTAGGACCTGGGTTTCCCACCCCTAGGTATGTGCCCTAACCACTAGGGTATTTGGCTGAAAGGTGGTTGGGTCCTCTTTGCTATAAGATGTGTGTTATTTGTGATTTTTGCCCAGCAACATGTATGTACCTCGGGTGATTCTGTTCTGCCCTGGAACCTAGGGGTTCCTGGTGTGATCTTCTGAGCATGTTCAGAAGTCAAACAGAGAAAACATAGTTATGCAGATTTAAACAGAAACAAAACCCTGTGTAAGTGCCCCAAACTGCCTATTTAAGGGTCACTTGGGCATGGAAAAGTTAAACAGGATTTAGCCCCAAGAAATTGGGCCTTGCAAAAAAATTAAGATTTCAACAAAGGTCTATATTTTTGGGAAAAAAACAAAAAAAACCCCCCATCAGCTATAATGAAACATCACCAGATCTATCAAATATAAAATAAGGTGCTACTTGGACAAGACTATAATCAGGTAACCCTACCTTCCGCCAAGTGAGTATAGGCTGAGGTTCTCCATGTGCACTACAAGGAATCTCTACATTCCTTCCTACCTCTACACTTGTATCTTGAGGTAGCTTAGTAAACACAGGCAGTACTGCAGAAAAATACAAAATATTCTTTATGTTAATATCACCTCTCCCACTGTCATCAACTGACACCCATCTGCACTGGATTTCTTGGTTTCACCTCAACAGGGGCAGATCCTCAGCTAGTATAAATTAATCTAGCACATGCATGCCACAAGGTAAGGCTCCGAACGATTAGTAAAGAGGGTGGCTCCAGTCTGACTGCCTGGATGAAGAGGGGGTGTCAGGTTTTACTGCCAAGATCCAAATGAACCCTACCATGGCCCTGAAGCTTTCACCAAAGTCAAGGCTTTGAATCCTCATTTGCCATATAACACTGCAATGGTTGCGGGGTCAGGGAAAGTCGAAGCTGACTCTTGGCATTGACACCACTCTCACAGAAGTGTCCCGCCTCTGGTCTGCTCTGCTCTACGTAGCTGGAAGCTCAAATCCTCCTGCCTCCATTCCGCACCCCATGGTGCAAGTCTATCTGACATGTCTCCGGGGGCAAGAATCAGAATGGTATTCAAGGAGGAGGAGGTGGTAACTTGTGTCACACCTGACAAAAGTTGCCCACCTCTGTTCTAATGGCAGTGATTGCAAAGGTTCCCTGAAAATGTGCATAAACTGTAAATCTTCAATAAAAATATAGTCACCGTAGAGGAAAAAATATATTTTAAAAATGTTGCCCCATGTAAGAAATAATCTTACTAAACTTTAGAAAACTGTCTTTCCATTCACATCAATGCTACCATGTTCACTCTGACTACATATTCTCAGCTAAGTTCTGTCTACCTAAGATCACATAATAGGCCTTTATTAACTTTCCCACTTCTGTATTTTTATCCATTGACATTCAATCATCTCTAAAATTAGTTGAAAATATATACCTACAAAGTAGCTGGATTATTTACTTTCACAGGTAGCTAGCAAATTACAGAATCAGAAAACAAATGAAAGATTTCTTCTGTTAGGTCAGCCTGTTGCAGAAAATAAATCTGTACCATGCAACACTGAATGAGCCTAATTTTGATGCTTCAACTGCATTGGTTGTAACTCTGCCATTAAGCAAAATGGTTAAACTGTCTTCATGTCCAAACCAGCTTTACTTTTATTTTTAATACATTTTTTCTTTATCAAAGTAACTATTCACTTTGTATTTTTATTGTTAGTTTTTAAAAATGGTCACTGTCTCTCTTATATCATTAAACTTTAAAAAAATATGGAGTAGAAACTCCACATTAAATATTTGTAAGACACTTGGAATTTCTCACAGGAAACAACATTGAATATATCTGGTATATTAAATAGATAAAACTCTGTAACAGGGTGGGTTGTTGCTTAAATCAGCCTCATCAAGAGAGCCCAGCTGTAGGGCATTTGGACAGGCAGGGACTGTGCCACCAGGAGCTTTAAAAAAGTCCTCAGGAAGAGTAAGCAAGAGAGAAGGAAGCAGGCTGTGAGCAAAACAGCTCGCTATAAGGAGGTCCTGGGACCAGAACCAAAGGGCTCCACTCCTAGTACCAAGGACAGGGCAGAAGGGCTTGTTTTGTTTGTTTGCTTGCTTATTTGCTGCTTAAAGACTGTGTTTTATTTGGGAAGACTGGCTGAGGAGATCCTCATGGAGTAAAACCTGCCTCTATGTTTTTTAAATAAAAGTAGAATTGTCTCTCAAGCTTCTGGGCATGTTTACAAACTTAAATATAACAGCATATAAAAAGCCCTTATAAAATCTCTCTATACAGGATAACAGATGCACCATATTTACTCTAATCTAAAATGCCCCTGAATTTAAGATGACCCCCCCCCCAATAATTAGATTCTATATATGGAAAATTTATAAAGTTGTAATAATTTTTCAGGTGTAGAACCTAGTTAGCTGAGATCTGACTTGAATGTGTCCCTCTGCCACTGCTATAGAAGGAAAAATAGTGGTTGGGGGTGGTGGCCCACTTGCCCCCCAACTTCTTTCCCCTGCAGCCGCTTCACCCCCTTTACAATCAGACCCTGCTCAGGCTCTGTTTACATTTTGAGCATGTGGAAGTGAGGAACAAATTTGAAATGCAAGGGACCAAAAAAACACATGACTTTGAAATAAATACACCTGTAGTAATTTGCATATAGGCAATGTTGGGTACTTATAAACTTGGTTCATCCAGAATTGATGTATTTTATCTTTTTGCAAAGTGCTGCATGTTTCAGCGCACACACTCCATAAACACACTTTTGAGCATGACGTTTGTATCTACTTAAACATACTACAAACTATGCATGACATCAGTCGAAAGCCAAAAGGCTCATGATTTACCATATAGTTCATTGGCCTGGGCCCCAGCAGAGTCAACAGCATTTCAGACTATTATGACCCCACAGACCAGCACTGCTCAGTATGTGTGTGCACTCCAGATACCCTCACAAAGGAATTAGCCACCCACCCATGACTGGAACCAGGTGATCTTAACATAAGGCCTGGGATCCCCCCAAATTTATATGAAGATGAGCTGTGGAGCATCCTGGTCCAGTTCCACCTCACTGAAGTCGGCCACACTAATCACATGCAACATGCCAAGAGAGGGCATGATACCCTCTCATCTGCATAGTGTTTGGTGATGAAAAAGGAAGTAAAAATGTATTCAATGTAATGGTTCACCATGAATTGCAAGCAGAGTCAGTGCTGAGGGGGATGGGCCTATTTTGAGCACAATGGATACTATATTGCAACCTCATCTCCTTCTATGACCAGGTAACTTGCCACCTGGACATGAGAGAGCAGGTCGACATTGTATACCTTGACTATTTGTAAGACACTTACAAGACTTTCAAAAGGACTTTGATCTAATATCCCATGATGTCCTCGCAAGAAAATTGGAGGATTGTGGGCTTAACTCCAAGACAGTCAGGAGGGTGAGAAACTGGCTGCAGGATAGGACCCAGAGAGTCATAGTGAACAGATCTGTGTCATCCTGGTGAAAAGTGGGCAGCAGTGTCCTGCAGGGGTCGGTGCTTGGTCCAGTACTTTTCAACATCTTTATTAATGATTTGGATGTGGGGGTGAAGAGCTCACTGGCCAAGTTCACAGACGACACCAAGTTATGGGGAAGTGGTCACATTTGAAGACAAGCTACAAATACAGGTAGACCTAGACAGGATAGCAAGTTGGGCAGATCAGAATCTGATGAAGTTCAATGCCGAGAAATGTAAAGTGCTCCGCCTCGGGACAAGCAACCCCCAATACACCTACAAGCTTGGTGGCACCAAACTGACTAGCACCACGAATGGAAGGGACCTGGGGGTAATAATAGATGACAGTATGAATGAGCCGGCAGTGCAATATTGTACCCAGTAGGACAAATAATATTCTGGCATCCATTAATCAATGCATCTGCAGCAAAACCAGGAGGTGACTCATCTGCTCTACTCAGCACTGGTGAGGCTGCAGCTGAGTACTGCATCCAGTTCTGGGCACCACACTTTAACAAGGACATGCACAAGCTTAAGATAGTCCAAAGAAGGGCCACCCATATGTTCAGAGTCTTACATGGCAAGCCATATGACAGGCTCGCAGGCCAGAAGTGTCCTGCCAGGCCATTCTATCTGGCCCGCAGGGCCCCTAAAACATTTAGAAAATTAATATTTATCTGCCCCTGGCTGCCTGTCATGCACCCCTCAATGGCTTGCCAAAACTCAGTAAGTGGCCCTCCACCCAAAATAATTGCCCACCCATGCCATACGAGGAAAGGCTGAGGGATCTGGGACTCTTCAGCCTGAAGAAAAGAAGGCTGAGAGGGGACCTGGTAGCAGCTTACCACTATACTAGGGGAGTACATCAAGGGCTCGGTGAGCAACTATTCACCAGCACACCTGAGGGGAAAACTAGGAGTAATGTCCACAAACTTCTGGAAGATAGATTCAGGTTCAACATTAGGAAAAACTTCTTCAGAGTCAGGGTGTCCAGCCTGCAGAATAAGCTCCCTCCAGAGGTGGTGCAATCACCTGCCCTGGAAATCTTCAAGAGGAGACTAGACAGTCACCTTGCCAGGGTCAACTGACCCCCAGTTATCTTTCCTGCTTGTTACAGGGAGCTGGACCCAGTGATCTTCCAAGGTCCCTTCCGGCCTTACAGTCTATGAATCTATGAATCTTACTCAGGTGGGCTGCATTAACCTAGCCTTATAGTAGGTTCCCATGAGTATGTTTGCCCAGTATTGGCCACGTGTTTTATAGGCATACTCAGTGTGGGCTTCATTTGATCAACTTCATAGTTGGCTTCCTTCACTGAGCACGTGCTGCTTCTGGCAGCAGTTTAATGATAGGAAAGGTGTTTAAGGAGGGGTTGCGAATATAAGATGAGGTGCTATGAGATGCTAACGAATAATCACTATAAAGTCTGAAAGAACTCAGGAGAGAGGACCAGGCCAGGAATTACCTGTTTCTAAATTGGAAGGAGAAAAGGGTATGCATGTGTGTATGTGTGGCACTGTGGCTGTGTGTGGAGCCTGACTCCTACATTATTTGATGAGTTAAATGACCAGCTTGCCAACCCCTCAATAACATTGACCCTATTAATCCCTCACAAGCACAGAAGACATAGAAAGTATAGATACCAAGATAGAAAGTAGGATACCAAGGATACTTTTACAGAATGTAGGATACCAAAGCAAATGAAAATGGATTTAATTCTCCAGTCACATGGAGCTTCATCCTGCACCTACTGGTCACATGATTACACTAAACTTCTGCTGCTAAGAAATAAAAAAAAGTTCAGAGACATATAAAGTGGTAACTGTGAATTGAACACAAAGCTTATCATTTACCTT